GAAAACATTGGAAATGGGGTCCCGAACAACAAGAAGCATTCTCAGACCTAAAAGCAAAGTTAACTGAAGCCCCTGTTCTGGCTTGTCCGGATTTCACAAAGACGTTCATATTGCAAACTGATGCCAGCAACTATGGCCTTGGAGCAGTTCTCATAACGTGGAACGTGTCATGGCCTACGCCAGCAGACATTTAAAACAGGCTGAAAAAAACTACTCAGCGACTGAAAAGGAATGTCTAGCCATACTGTGGGGCATTAGGCACATGAGACCCTATTTAGAGGGTTACCAGTTTATAGTTATTACCGATCATTTGGCCCTAAAATGGTTAAATTCTATTGAAAGCCCCACAGGTCGACTCGCACGTTGGGCCCTCGAGCTACAGCAATATAATTTTTTGATCAGATACCGCAGAGGAAAACAGAACGTTGTGGCGGATGCACTTTCGAGAACACCTTTGGAAACATTAGACCTAGCCACGGTAAAATATGACAGAAGAAGTACGTAGGACCTCCTCCGCGATCTAAGCATGGTAACTCGATGCTACTCGTTATTATGGATAGATTCTCAAAATGGACGGAGTTGGTTCCATTGCGGAAGGCTACGACAGAGGGATTAATAAAGGCATGCAGAGAAAGAATTATTTCTAGATATGGGGTTCCAAAAATATTGATAACCGATAACGGAACCCAATTCACTAGCAAACAATTCGAAAAATTCCTAGCAGAAATGGGTATAAAGCATCAACTTACGGCTCCTTACACCCCGCAAGAGAACCCTACGGAGAGGACAAATCGGACGGTGAAAACAATGATAGCACAAGTTTCGAGACAACATAATACATGGGACGATTTGCTGCCCGAAATAATGTTAGCCATAAACACTAGTGCATCAGAATCCACTGGATATTCGCCGGCATATCTGACACAAGGACGAGAACCGCGACTGCCCCAGGCATTATATGATCAGCTCACAACAGGAACTGGTGCTAGAATAGTCTTACCAGAAGACCGTGCCCAGGAGTTGAAAGAAATATTTAAGATAGTGCGTCGAAACTTGGCAAAAGCATCTCAAAACCAGCGGAGACAGTACAACCTTAGACGACGAGTTTGGAAACCAAAGATTGGGGAGCAAGTTCTAATTCGTCTACATCCTCAGTCGAAGGTCGTCGAAAATTTCGCCGCCAAACTAGCGCCCAAGTACGGAGGGCCGTTTGTCGTACAAAAGTTCCAATCTCCAGTAATCGCTGTAGTCCGAGGAAAGGACAACATTACCCGCGTCGCGCACTTAAGCGAAATTAAGCCTTTTTATGAAGAACAAAATTAAATTGTAGACATAGAAGTAGAATGTTGATTGTAGTTCAACTTAAGTTTATGTGATGTCATTCTAATTTCTTATTTTATTTTTAGACATTAAATTGGCAATACCCAAAGTAATCAGTGTCCTAATATAAGCACATACGTCAAAGATTATATCAATTCTCAAAAGTTCAATATCACGATGGAGCAAGATAGCCCCAACACAAAAAAATTCAAACGGGCGAAGGAGAAATTTCGAGCTCATCTGGAACAAGTCGAGGCTCAAAGGCGAAGGACCATATTTTTGGATGAAAGCCCTAGTACCAGCCGAAATATAAAAACAAATCAATACCGTAAACCCAATCCAAGAAAGGGTAGCAGTCAATCCTCAGCACCCCAGCACCAAATATTTTACCGAATGTGCAACACGACCCCGAATGACATTCCACCGCAAAAGTGTGACACGACCGAAAACAACAGCGACGATATCGATGAAACTTACTCTCTGAATGAGGAAACCCAGCCTAGTAGTGACGTCCCGCGTACACCAACCTACGCACCGTGTTTTGGTTCGCCAAATAGCTTTAAGCCGGCTTCCGATGCACTCTCAACACCCACCTCAAGGTGCTCAGAAATGCCTGTTACACCGGGTAAAGAATGGTGCCGTGACTCCGATGACGCATCAACTCTTCCTCGGCCCAATAGGGAGGAGTCGGATGAATCCGAATAAAATTTCGAAATGGATGAAGAATGTCGGCGTATGTTTTACGGTTACTTAGAAACCTCAGTGACTCGGCGAGCTCAGTCACCCATATCCTCGAATAATTCCTCGCTGGATGAGTCGGATAATGAAGACCCACGTTCCTCGTCTCCTCCAAAAAGGTATGGTCTGGGATTTGTCCGTCAGAAAGATAGCCAATATAAATATCTCGGATTTCGCTGTTATGAGAGAACAGTTACTGTGCAGCTTTTGGTCCCCGACTCCGGTGAAAATCCAATATATGAAATAACAAACCCACCTCCGGATAATCGTCGTACGCCCTCACCGACACCCGCGAAAGGGGAAGAGATCAACACCGAATATATCCATTCAATATCCAACACCTCACACAAACATGAGGAGGTTCCTACTTCATCCTCACATGCTTCCGCACATTTAGAAGAAGACTCCAGATCGACCGCAAGTAGTTTTGTGACAGTTTCCGAAGATCCTAGTTTTGAGTGGTGGACCCAATGGCAGACGCTGGTTGGTGTTCCTCCGTCATCTCCGCTATATAACATAACCGAACAAACAAATCTGTTGCATAGTGATGACGTACAAATTCCATCGCATTCCAACGCTGCCGTCATATCGGACGATCACAGGTCCCTCAACGTGAAGGAAGATAAATCATTACCAGGAACGTCGGGACACGTTGTCAAACTATCATCACCATCGCTATCTTCCCGATCGTCGTCTTCATCGTCATCCTCATCGTCTTCATCGTCATCCTCATCAGCCTCGTGGTCTTCATCGTCATCCTCATCAGCCTCGTCGTCTTCATCGTCATCCTCATCAGCATCGTCGTCTTCATCACCATCCACAAGCCAAACGATGGCACCTCATCAGCCAACATTGTGTAGCAGTCAACCGTCCATCGATGAAGTGTTTATACCCAGTAAGGAGAATAATAGCACACCAAGTACGCTCAAATTGCCAGTCACTGAAATTCCAACCGAGTCAACGCCATCGTCCTCGACAGGTAATCCCGGGAACGATAACACATTTCTCGAACTGTCAAATTATCCCAAAAACCTACAAAGCCGTATCGAGAAGTTCAAAAACAATTGGAAAAAGGGACACAAACTGAAGCGAATTGTTAAACAAGATGACAAGCAGTACCGCATAATAATATCAGCAGACGGGGTAGTGAAGGTATCTCTCCGAACTTCTGCAATTGGTCTCTAACATACCTTAATATTCGACCGAGATAGTCGAACCAAAGTGCCCATGTCGGAGAAATAAAAGGTTACATAACACCCTAGGGCTTCCTGGCTATTGAAACCAAATAGCAATGAGAAAGCAAATCAAGGAAATCAAAAAATCAGAGGGAGGAAGAGAAGCCATGTAACGCCCAAAAGTCATGCTTTCGTTTTTGGGGTACATTATTATTTTAAATACAATTTTTATTTACTTATGTTATATAAATCAACTATGAATTGTATTTGTTTGAAAAATGAATTAAAATATTTAAGTTATGAATTAAACTAACAGTAACTCAGGTTCATGTAATTTAAATGTATTTGAATATTAACGGTCACACCGGTCCCCTAGTACAAGGAGGTATAATTAAAATACAACATTGGAACCCCTGGTGGCAAATGGCGGAACTATGCAAAACTGTCAGATTGGGATCAGCTGCTGTCATGAGAAAACAACAATCGTTGACCAGCCAAAAAGGTATAAAAGGAGACGCATTTCACACAAGCGGGATCAGTCTTCTGTTGATGGCTGGTAAGTCAAGTGTGATTGGGAGGAAGAAAAGGCGCGCAACCTCGGTTGAATTGAGTCTTAGTAAGCCAAACAATAAGCCTTGACTATTTGTGGTGACTAGACCGGACTGAACGCAGGGTCAAGTGAGGGTTGTAGCAATACTCCCTATTCTTCGGGCTGCGTTGACGGCGACTGAACGCAGGATCAAGTGAGGGTTGTAGCAATACTCCCTATTCTTCGTGCTGCGTTGACGGCGACTGAACGCAGGATCAAGTGAGGGTTGTAGCAATACTCCCTATTCTTCGGGCTGCGTTGACGGCGACTGAACGCAGGATCAAGTGAGGGTTGTAGCAATACTCCCTATTCTTCGGGCTGCGTTGACGGCGACTGAACGCAGGGTCAAGTGAGGGTTGTAGAAATACTCCCTATTCTTCGGGCTGCGTTGACGGCGACTGAACGCAGGGTCAAGTGAGGGTTGTAGTAATACTCCCTATTCTTCGGGCTGCGTTGACGGCGACTGAACGCAGGGTCAAGTGAGGGTTGTAGAAATACTCCCTATTCTTCGGGCTGCGTTGACGGCGACTGAACGCAGGGTCAAGTGAGGGTTGTAGCAATACTCCCTATTCTTCGGGCTGCGTTGACGGCGACTGACGTACTCATCGGGCTGCTGCTGTGCCAGGCCGCCGCCACCCTATTCGTCGTCGCGTATTCATCGGGCCGCCGCTGTGCCAAGCAGCCGCCACTACTACTCGCCGCTGACGTATTCATCGGGCCGCCGCTGTGCCAAAGCTGCCGCCACTACTAGTCGTGACCTGCGTATTCATCGGGCTGCTGCTGTGCCAAGCCGCCGCCACCCTATTCGTCGTCGCGTATTCATCGGGCCGCCGCTGTGCCAAGCAGCCGCCACTACTACTCGCCGCTGACGTACTCATCGGGCTGCTGCTGTGCCAAGCCGCCACCCTATTCGTCGTCGCGTATTCATCGGGCCGCCGCTGTGCCAAGCAGCCGCCACTACTACTTGCCGCTGACGTATTCATCGGGCCGCCGCTGTGCCAAAGCTGCCGCCACTACTAGTCGTCACCTGCGTATTCATCGGGCTGCCGCTGTGCCAGAGCCGCCGCCACCCTATTCATCGTCGCATATTCATCGGGCCGCCGCTGTGCCAAGCTGCCGCCACTACTACTCGCCGCTGACATATTCATCGGGCCGCCGCTGTGCCAAGCTGCCGCCACTACTATTCGCCGCTGACGTATTCATCGGGCCGCCGCTGTGCCAAGCTGCCGCCACTACTATTCGCCGCTGACGTATTCATCGGGCCGCCGCTGTGCCAAGCTGCCGCCACTAATATTCGTCACCTGCGTACTCATCGGGCTGCCGCTGCGCCAAAGCTGCCACCACTGCTACACGCATACTCACATTTCGACTGTACTCTGTGATTTAGTGTTCTTCGTGTTTCTGAACGTTGTATTATTGTGTTTAGTGTACTGTTTAGTGTTATTTACGGAAATAAATTTATAACGTTTTAAGAAAACATTTTTCTTCGCTCTCTCTCTTTATGTCCTAACAAATAAATTCTTGTGACGACTCTGGCCCCCCGCTGAACCTACCCCAGCTTCAAAGTGAAAACACGTCGTCACAAATTCAAAAAATTCCATTTGATATTTAAAAATGTTCATTTGTAATTGTTATATTTCCATTTGAAATTTTTAGAGTTTTATTTGAAATTCAAATAAATCCTTTTAAAATTCAAAGAATTCAACTTGAAATTTATAACATTTCACTTGTAATTCAATATATTTCATTTGTAATTCGTAACAATTCATTTCAAATTCATACATATTCCTTGTGTGTTACCAATAATATTTTTCGAATTTAAAATCAAATGTTATGAAAAACAAATGAAATGTTATGTACTTCAAATGAAATATTAAAAATTTCAAATAGAATTATTTAAATTTCAAATAGAATTTTATTACTTTCAAATGGAATTTTATGAATTTCAAATGCAATACATGGAATTTCAAATGGAAGTTTATGAATTTCAAATGGAATTCTACGAATTTCGAAAGGTATTCTATAAATTACAAATTAAATTCTCGAATTAAAATTGATATGTTATGAATTACAAATGGAATTCTCGAATTGCATTTGATATGTTAACTTCAATAAACTTGTAATTGTAACAAAATGCCATAATTTTTACCCTAACATAAGCAAGAGGAGCTGTTGACAATTAATCTAATATCAATTCCACTGGTGGAAGACGTAGAATCTGGAAGAAATGGTAAAATTTGTTTAGGGCTCTACATATTTCAGTATTAGCTTTGAAATATCGCGAAACATCGCTCAGGAAATATAGATCTACAGAATGTTAAAGTTAAGTGGAAGTTGTTTTGTACAAAATATTGCTCCGTTTTATATGTCCATGATATGACATAGTCCACAATATTAAGCTTCTACTTTCGTTATTGGCAATTCGTTTTCTCAGACCCCCATATAAGGGACCCAACCGATTTTAGGTATTTTGATTTCACATATCTGTTCTTTGAGAATAACAAAATCAACATCCAATTTTAAAATATTGTCATGTGTAGACATTGCCACGTCCCATGTTATCTATTTTGATGACCATTGTCCATTGTCGAATGTCCCATCCAAATTATTATACCCTACACAACTATGTTGTCAGGGTATTATAGCTTTGTGCAGCCCCAAAAGTTTGTAACGCCGCGAAATATTGGTCCTAGACCCACCATTAAGTATACCGATCATATCATATCTCGACTAGCTGAGTCGATCTAGACATGTGTGTCCGTCCGTCCGTCTGTCCATTATAATTTGTAAACACGATACAGGCCATATGGACCAATCTGCACGAAATTTTGCATGTAGGATGGGTTCTGGCCAATGACGACCCCTATTGTTTTTGGGAAAGATCGGCTAATATTTAGGGGATGGAATGGACCAAATACTAAATTTTTGTCGGTTTTTGTGATCGCTCCAGAGGCCGCAATAATGGCCCGAACATCGTGAAATTTTGCATGGAGAAGGGAATCGGGCCAAAGAATAAGAATGCTTATTTTCATAAAGATTGGTCAATATTTAGCGGGTCAAATGGACCTTGACTTTTGTGTGAAAAATGACAAAATTTGTATTCTATAGCGTATATATTTACCCCTGAAGGACATAGACCCGAGAAGTTGATATTATATCCAAGAGCAGTGGTTGACCTTTAAATTAATACCAATTATATTGTTGTATGTGCTCGGATGTGGGAGTTACACCTAAATATTCACAGGTATCTCCGTATTCCTATATTATTTAGTAACCCATTATCACTCTAGAGAGCGGAACTATAGCACTGATCGCTTTGAAATTTTTCATGAGGTTCCAGTTATGGCCAAGGACAACGCCTATAATTTTCGGTGATGATCAGATAATAATTTTGGAATGCAATGGACCAAAAACTTAATTTTTTGTGTTATTTTCGAGTCGATCTATAGACCACAAATGAAAGCCGAACATCACAACACAACCCACGGTGAAGAGAATCTGGACAATAGCTGTACTAAATAATCGTAATATTCGGAAAATATGTCAGTGTGAGGAAGAGGAGCTGTTTACCTCTAATCGGGCAAGAGGGTGCAAAAATCACGAAATATTGCCCAGGCTCAGAATAAACATCCGCAGAAAATATGAGTTCCGTGGTAGTTGTGTAGGGTATCGTATGGTCGGCCCCGTCCGACTATACTGCTCCGCTCACTGGTTCTTAATTTGTTTTCTCAGACCAACCATGCGAGGGTCCCAATTATTTTGGTTTCCGTTCTGTTAAAAAAGAGACCTGTGTAAGGAGTGAACATGATGTTGATAAATTATTTTCTTCTCCTTCGTCCAAATAGAGTCCAGGTATATGGCATATGTCTGGTTCCCTGCTGTCAATTCTGACCCAATACGACTGGTGGAGGCTTCACCATTCTGATCATAATTGGGCTAAAATCACTCTCATCACATGGTATTGGTCCATCGCCTGCGTCACTACTTCTGCGTGAGTACCGTTAATTCCTGCTCGATAGTAAGGTTGATCTAGTGTTTGTCTTTTATGTCGTTGATCCTCAATCTCTCTATATTATGCAAGTCTCTTCTTATATGCCTGGGTGGGAGAATCCTATTTATAAGGTGATGGTATTGTGATTCCGACTATAGCACCCAATCAGGTACGGCATCAAAAACATCTTATTGTGTCCATGTACAGCTAAGACCATCGCCTCCTCATATAAATGGCCCACACAGTCATAAGGAGGCACTCCGTCGCTGTTCCTACGGCGGCATACTGACAGGGTTAAATGTTCTTCCAGTGATGATGTTTCGGAAATTTCTATCAGCTACCCGAGGATCAGAGGGAACGTGGCACCAGTTCTATAATCCTCAACCCTTGATCATAAGTGACAAAAATTCTAGCCACTTCATCCGCTTAT